CATAAGCTTTCGTGGGTGGGCTGTAGTCCACGAAAGCTTATGCTCTAATAAATTTGTTAGTCTCTAAGGTGCCACAAGTAATACCAGTCAGTGATTCAATGACTTTATCATTTTTGTGTAGGCTGTACTTGCTTACTAGATAGATTCATAGATTCCAAGGCTAGAAGGGACCATTGTGATAATCTTGTCTGATCTCCTGTGTAACACAGGCCAGAGAACCTCCCCAAAAGATCTTTTAGAGAAACAGCCAATCTTGATTTAAAAATTGCCAGTGATGGAGAATCCAACTCAACCCTTGATAAATTGTTCCAATAGTTAATTACTCTCACTGTTAAAAATTTAGGCCTTATTTCCAGTCTGAATTTGTCTGGCTTCAACTTCCAGCCATTGGCTCATGTTACACCTTTGTCTGCTAGATTGAAGAGCCCATTATCAAATATTTGTTCCCCATGTAGATATTTACAGACTGATCAAGTCATCCATGAACCTTCTCTTTGTTAAGCTATAAAGATTGAGCTCCCTGAGTCTATCACTCTAAGGCAGGTTTTCTAATCCTTTCATCATTCTCCTGGCTCCTCTCTGACCTCTCTCCAATTTATCAACATCCTTCTTGATAGGAAATATCCCTGAATGTTCAGATAAAGTTTCCAAGTGAGATGAATTTCTTGGTCTCCCTTATTATTCCCCAATCTTCATACTTACACTGTGAAGATTTTAATCCAGAAATGTTATTGAGTCCTTCAAGAGCAGAGTTGGCTAAATAGTTAAAGAAAAACCCGAACTCTGATTATAAATATGTGCATGAATAAAGTGCAGAGTTCAGTTTGCTATGATCTGTGGGGGCATCCTGTTTACTATTCAAAAGTATAGGGGTGGCTACTGGGGGAAATGTTTTATATATTTTAAAACTTTCAAGAATTTAAGTGTTAAGGCTATTTGGCTGAAAATTCATACTGGGAACTGCATCTGTTGCCATTCACTATTCTCCTGTCTCAGCCGTTTGAGTCATCCAGTCAGGAAGAAGAAACAATACCATGTGATTTAGGCAACCAATCACTCCGCATGCATAGCAAAGAGGTAATATTCTAAGCGAACAGTTTGTGGACAACCTGAAAGCTGAAAATTATTCAGCAACTCCTAATGTAGCAGCCGTGCTCCCAGAATCCAGGGGTGGTTCTCACATGAGACAGCAGCTGAAAACGGGACTAAGTTCACACCAAATTTAGGGCAGGGTTCTGTGCAGCCATGCTGCAGGTTCACAGTGGGGAAGCAGTGGCCATAAGGAGCCTTCCCCCCCTGCATGTGGCCGTGTAAGAGCTGAGCAGAGCTGTAGCCCCGGCACTGTCCGGAGCACAAGGATGGCTCTCTAATGGCTCCCCTAGGGATATCTCATGCTCCAGAGAGGAGGGGTGTAATGTAGGCTGAGCCAGGGCTCCATTCCCAGCTGGCTGGCTGGCCATCTACAGGGAGAGATCTGGGGGTCCCTCACTGAGGCAGACTGCCTCCAATGCTGCTCCTGGGCAGATTGTGCCAAATCCTGAAGCCTTTGCTGAGTTTTCACTCAGTTGTTACTCAAGAAAATGTCAAAGGGAGTTTTTCCTGAGTAAGGGCTGAGTGAAAACTTATTTGTTACATGGATACAGGTGCCCTTTGAATTCTTCAGCACCATACGGTCAGAATGCTGCACATCCGTGAGCCACACAGCTAGCCCTGACCACTATATTTGCCAGTCAGTTAACCAACATCTCTCAGGCTAAGATCCCACCTAAGGTGAGAAGTGGAGGCCAGGGCAGTTTATCCATCTGCCTGGAGCAAAGTCAACCTGCTTTGTGATTTTTAGTGTCACTCACAGACTGGAGAGTGTCAGCTCTGTCCCCTCCAGTGCTTCTCAAACAGTCCCACAGGAGCTTAGTGACTAGAGATGGGAAAAGCCAGTCCATTTCTCTGAGGCCAGGGCAATGTGGTGTGCTACCTTCTCTCTCTCTCTCTCTTCTCCTTGCAGGGAGGTCCTGGCCACTTATATTTGTTGAAGAATAAAGTTGCCACCTTTGCCAAAGTGGAGAAGGAGGAAGATATGATCCTGTGAGTCGCTTTGTTATTTCCCAACCCTGGGTGCCCTTTCTCTGGTCTATTTAATGTAGATGGGGGGTGGGTAGGCTAAAGTTTTATTCCTATATTCATTGTGACAATCTAGTCTGACCTCCCGCGTAATACGGGCCAGAAAACTGCCCTGCATTCATTCATGTTTGAAGTAGCGCAGAGCTTTTAGAGAAACACCCCTTCTTGAATTAAACATGGCCAGTGATGGAGATCGATCATGATCCTTGGGAAATGGTTCCGATGGCTAATTCTCCTCACGATTGTAATGTGCACCCTAGTTCCAGTCTGGATTCGTCCGGCTTCAGCTTCCAGCCATTGGATCTTGTTACCCCCTTGTCTGCTAGACTGAAGAGCCCATTAGCAAATCTCACCAAGTCAGCCTTTAACCTTCTCTTTGTTAAGCAGACTAGCTTGAGCTCCTCGAGTCTCTCGCTTTGTCTACTGGGGTTCTCTATCTGGGCCTTTACTCACTACAACTGCTTTCGGCTGCTTTATTGCCCTCAGCATTCACCGATGCTACATTGTCTTTTTTAAAATGTCAATGCTGGTAATATCATGCAGCACAATTGTCAGGGGCAATTGGGACAAGGGGAGAAAAGAGGAAATCAGAAGGGAAAAGATTAAAGGAAAGTGTATTTAAAAACCCTGGCAACTATGAAGATGTAAAATTTAAAAGGTTTGGGACCAGTATTGAGGGGAGAGGAGTCCAACTGTGCTGCCCTGCTTGGCAGAGGTGAGTGGTCAAAGAATTATTCTGTGGGGGGAAATGCCAATACTTGCAGCAAGTATTATTCACAACAATCAACTGGCCAAGCTCTGCTTTGAGCTCACCACTGTGCCATCGTGGAAGAGCATCAACAACCCACCACATGTGAGTGCAGATGCCCTGTGCTGCTTCAGACAGGTTCAATCCACCTTACAGGCATGGAACAGGTGAGGCAGGGGGATTTCCATGGAAAATCTTGCAAATGAGCTCAGGGAGAGAGGCTTGTGTCTCCTCCAGGGTGGTCCCACTTTGTCTCCCTGGACAGCATGTGTCCAATGCCAGGGTGCCTGACTCTGCAGAGGGGGTGGATTTTAAATGGTAATTTTGTTTCCTCATATTACTTCCAGCTTCTGGAAGCGGCTGAGCCGATTGATGAGCAAAATCAACCCTGAGCCAAATGTCATTCACATCATGGGCTGCTACGTTCTGGGAAACCCCAATGGGGAGAAGGTAGGCGGCCCTGGGCCATGGCCAGAAGCTCTCTATGGGCAGGTCAGCTGGTGTGGCACAGAGTTGGGATATTTGATTAAAGGGCTTTCCCCTCTAATATTGAGGGGCATGTTGTCCTTTTCCCAGCCACTCTTCTCTAAGGATTTGCCTGCTTTGCAGACATGTGCTGCACATCCCACCTCATGAAGAGAGTAGCTCGGCTGGTGTGTGTCTGTGAAAGGATAAGCCGCCCTGTGGCCATACCGTAGATCGGCAGGAAGGGACTGTTCAGTTTGGCCTGTGAGTGCCTTTCGGGAAAAGTGAAGAATGGGAACATAAGACTCTTCCTTGCAGCCGTAGACAAAGATCAGAGAATCCTAGAAATGTTGGGCTGGAAGGGATCTCGAGACATCATCAGGTCCAGCCCCTGGGCTGAGGCAGGACCAAATAACCCAGACCAGCCCTGACAGGTGTTTGTCCAATGTGTTCTTAAAAACCTCTAGTGGCAGGGATTCCACAACCTCCCTGGGAAGCCTATTCCAGTGCTTAACTAGCCTTCTAGACAGAAAGTTTTCCCTAATAACTAACCTTGCTGAAATCTCCCTTGCTGCAGATTAGGCCCATTACTTCTTGTCTTACCTTTAGTGGATGTGGAAAACAATTAATCACTCTCCTCCTTATAACAACGCTTAACATATTTGAAGAGGGTTGTCAGGTCCCCCCTCAGTCTTCTTTTCTCAAGACTAAACATGACCATAGGCCAGGTGCCCAGAACTGGACACAGTACTCCAGCTGAGACCTCAACCATGCTGAGTGGGACAGTTACCTCCCATGGCTTACGGACAACACGCCTGCTAATACACCCAAGAATATTAGCTCTTTTCCCAAGTGCATCACGTTGGTGGCTCATACTCCGTTTGTGATCCACTATAACCCACACATCCTTTTCAGCAGTGCTACTGTCTAGTGAGGTTTTTCCACCGTTTGTCCCTACCAATAACCAAAAGGGCTGATCGGGTTAGCCTGGGATATTCAAAGGGAACTAGGGTCAATGTGAGTTGGGCACCTAACTCCCTTAGGTCTCTTTGAAAATCACAGCCGTACTCAGCTACCCCTTATAGGCAGGATTCTTCCAGTGGTTGTGTGCGCTGGCTCCTATTGTCCAGCACAGGAGCTGTGAGCTGCTGGGGCATGGGTGGAGCAGGACCTTGCCTAGTGGTTGTGGTGACAGCTCAGCATAATAGTGAGCATAGATCCAGGAGTCACCTACCAGTCGGAGGGTGACACCAGAGTCAGGGGCGAGAAGCCAAGCCAAAGGTCAGGGCAAGGCGTAGACTGGAGTGGACAGGAATCAGGTTGGAAGCAGAGGCTGGAGCAAGAGCAAGAGAAGGAAGTGGAAGCCTGCACAGCTGCAGCATGGCATGCTTTGAGCAGCCACTCTGCTGCTGCCACTGCAAGGCTCAAGTAGCAGGCTGCTGGCTCCCTGCCCGATCAGGAGGCATGGCCATTTGGAGAAGACTCACTGCGCTTGCTGGGTGGCCTAGCGACCAGGCTGGGATCCAGCTGTTCTCCTGACTGGGCTGACCCAAAGGTTTGAGTCTGACTGCTCTGAAGAGTGCTGAGTTCTCTCGTTCCCCATTGCCCTGTGCCTGCCCATCAGTTATTTAATTTGAAGCACCTGGGGTGCCTCTTTTGAGTCAGCTACTAACTTTTAAATCTCGTCTCATTTCAGCTATTTCAGAATCTGAAAAACCTAATGAATCCTTATAGAGTTGTCTTTGAGTCACCACTGGAACTTTCAGCTCAAGGTAATTACTTCTGCTATAAATGTGAGGGTGAGCTTCTCCAGCATCACTGCCTCCTCCATGGGCCTCTTTCACAAAGAAGCACTCTTCAACTTCCGGAAGCCCTGCCCCAAAAAGCCAAGTCGCTGAAACCTTCCCCGGTTTGTAATGACTTTATCATTGATTTGTATGGTGGATTCCTCCTGGTCCGGCTTTTCCCCTTTCATATTTCCTCCCCTTTTTGCCTTTCAATTGCACCTATCATTGTGTTTGTAGCTGGAGAGTGCTCTCCAAAGCTAATGCAGATCACCAAAAAGGGCCTGTAACAGGAGCTGAGCTAATAATTGATGTTTTGGTTTGATGGCAGTTCCAAACAATTGAAAAAAAATTCAGTTCGGGTTGAATCGAATCTGAAATTTTCAAAATTTGTGGTGACTCAAAAGAAGTCCATTTCAGGTCTGTGCCAAAGCAGGGACTTGAACCTTGAGCTCCTACATGAGGTAAGTGCCCTAGCCACTGGGCTTAAGGGGTGGAAAAGTTGCACCTCTTCCTCTGGCTGGTTTGTGACTGACTGAAGCTTTGTGTCAAATTTGCAAATAGTTTCAAGTCAACAGAAACTGCATTTTTTTGTCAAATAAACTTTTCTTTAAAAAAATGTTGCCCAGTTCTACGTGGAACTAATACTGACCCTTCTGGGCAGAGGTAACTTAGGAGATTCAGTAAGTTACCAGAGCATGCTGAGCTCAATAGGAGAGAAGCACATGCACATCTGGGAGAAGAATCTTTTCCTTAATGATGCATGTGAGTATTTCTCCTCCAGAGGATGCTAAACAACAGCACTAGTTCTGAACAGACTTTCCATGCTAACAGGAGAGCTGAGTGTGAACCATCTTTTCATAGTCTCTTCTTGTCTGTAGTTTGAAAGACTTTAGAGGCTATAGACACCTTTTCTTTCCTTGTATGGTTGATATCTGGCTTGTGGCTTCTATCCACCTGCTGTTTGGTGGATTTTCACAGTTTAAACAGTCATAAATACAAGGGATGCATTGTTGGCCTTGCTGAAGTTATCCACTGTGGTTTGCCATTGCCAAAATCATAGTGATTAAGACCAGAAGGGACCATCAAATCATCCAATTTACCATGTGGTACTGTGTCCACATATTTTAGATCTATTTATTTGTATTACTGTAGCACAGAGGAATCTAGGCACTGTACAAATACAGAACAAAAAGACAGTCCCTCCCTCAAAGACCTTACAATCTGCAAGAAGCTGAACACCCTCATTCTGTTTGACCTTAACAAGATCATCCTCAACTCCCACTGACTTGAGTTGAGGGTCCTCAGCATTTGCCAGGAGGGGCCCTGCATTTTCAAAGTGCATGCCTAAGATCCACAACAAAACCATGCAGTGGCGCATGGCCTTGTGCAGAGAGTTAATTGTATCAATTCAACAGAAAAGATTGTGCTTTCTGCAAACAATACATGTTGTAGGTGGTGCCCAGCAGAGCAGTTCTTGGCTCTGCAGGAGAGCAGGGCTTGAGACTGCATTGCAGTTTTTTCATCTCGATAAATCTAGGACACATAACGTAACCACTTTAACCCCTGGCTACCCATCATGCAGACATCTCAAACTGACCTTAATCAGCTGTGAAAGAGAAAAGTCCTTCCCTCTGTTTTGCTTTTTAGAATCTAGGATTGTTTGTTTTTCTTATGCTTTGTGGGGGTTTGGGTTTTGTGAAGCTACACTGGCCACCTCCATTGCTGGATTTCTGTAAAGTGACTGTCCTAGTGAAATACTTCAATCAAGCAGGTGCAAAAAGGATTCACACCAGTAGCGAAACCACCCAAGTCCACATTTTCCCCCAAAGTGTTCTGCTGAACTTTTCACTTTGGCAAAAGAGAGATCTGGGTAGTTAAAGTGATCTTTTGCCTTACCAAACTCACTGCAGCCATGGAGATTGGAGGTCTCATAAGCATGAAGGAGAGGAGCCTCTGTTACTGTCTGACAGGTCTGACTGTACCTTCTTTTGGTCCATAACTTTCCTATAGACCAGTGGCGTGTTCCCTGCTGTCATTCTAGCTAGTGTCTCCCAGAGCTGGAGTGAGTTGTACTGTGACTCTCAGCACCCACTGATTATCACCTTTGCTGGTAGTTTGTGCAGAGAGGCCAAGAACAGAATGGGACATGGAGACAGAGCTGTATCTCACCTTCTGGGTGCGGGTGGGCACACACTGGCAGGCTGTTAGGAGGGGAGCCCGTCTTGCTGTTGCCTGGGCTCTCCAATGTTGAGTATGAATAATATGATCACCCATTTTGGGGGTTGTCAAGGCAACACCTTTTATGGTTACTTTCAGATGGGGCATGTGATGCCCTGAGTGAGTGACAGCTGTCAGCAATGTCCCTACATGAGACTCACAGACAGACTCTCCTGTGCGCATCCATGAAACAGGGAGAATCAATCTTTTTGGCTGCTGCAGGCTGCTTGGTCTCTGCTCCGCCCAATGCATCACTGGGGTAATCTGTGCTTTGTTTTGGTTCTCATCCTAGGGAAGCAAATGATTGAAACTTACTTTGACTTCCGTCTTTACCGCCTCTGGAAGACTCGCCAGCATTCCAAACTGTTGGATTACGATGACGTTTTATGAGCTGGAGAAGCCATTGCATGAGGAGAGTGATCACCAGTATCTCACAAGTCATGCTTGTGGCAGAGACGTTTTTCATTGGCACGGGGAGCCCTGCAGGAGGCAGCAGTGCTGAAGGGATGGAAGGAAGGGCTGTCCGGACGAAAGGCTTTTGGGTAAAGACAGAGGCTTGAAGGGGAATGGTGTGACTCCGCAGACACTGCCCGCAGAGCCTTTGTCTCTCAGAGGGAGCTGTGTCAAATGGGAAATTTCCTTGCAGGACTGAGCTGTTTCAGGTCATGATGGGCCAGAATCAATTCCAGGTCCTTTTAAAGACATTTAAAGCTCAGGTTTTCTTATAAAAAAGTAAAACAAATAATCCTTGCACTATAATAAAGCAGTGACTTGAAGCCCAGAGCGGGAAGGGCATTGTACTGATGGGCGCTCCCCAGCAGCGATCTTTGCTGTGTTAGGGATTTTGGAAGGCAAGGAACGCCATACTTAATCCTGCAAGCTTTGACCGGCAAAGTTCAGCAACCTAATGTCAATACACATTGAAATACAGAATTAGAGTTTAACGTATTTTGGTTTAATAGAAAATAAGTGCAATTTTTATACACAGAGGGGAAAACCCTCCCAATATTTAATTAGTTACAAATAACACATCAGTAATCAATAGATGAGGTATTTTTTAGTCTGCTTGAAAATATATTCGAGATCGTAATATATCTTCTGTAGACATATTTAATCACCAGCAATATGATTTTAATGTTACTTAGCAGACATGCAGGGTCTGCTGCATTGATCAGTCCTGTTTGGTTTTGGTTTTATTTTTAATTTCAGAGTAGCTGTGTTACACTAATTGTATGTGTTCTTATGAATGTATTTTGCACCTCCAGTTAGACACAACTTTGTTACTTTATCTTTGCTACTTGCAAAACTGTATGGTTTTAGTTTTGCTGAAAGTTTAGATTAGAAATACAGTACATGACTGAGTGGAATCTTGGTCAATTTCATTAAGATATAACAATGAAGTAGAAATTAATAGCCATGTTAATTGTTCACTCAGTATATTGCTACATTTTAGAAAGATGAGCTCTTCTTGCAGACTGCAGGAGGGAACAGAAGTTTATTTGAGAATGAGAAATCCTCCGAGGAGGTTTAGGTGTTTGAATTAATAGAATGAAATACTTCTTGACGTAAGTAGCATTGGTTAGTAGCATTTTGAATCTTTCCCACATTCATCTAGTTTGCCAGTTTTTTCCAGCAAGCTATTGAGCCGTTTGTAGTTCTCAGCTTTCCCTTCCAAATCCTCTTTGTCTGAGACAAACAGCTTATATAGCTCTCATTTGTGAGCAGCTATGGTTTTCGAATCTGGATTTGTGCTGAATAGCTTTTAAGATATTCCACAGTATATCCTTACTTTTTTTTAGTCTTCTAGTCTCCTGAATGTCTAGGGGCTAAATATTACTGTAGTCTGCACAGGTCACCCTGGCCATTTGGGGCGATTATACCCTTTCTCTTTCAGAGAGGTAAAATATACAGGAGAATAACCATGGAGGGTTAGTTTGGGCTCCTGATGTGTTCATTTGTAAAAGTACCTGGCTGTGCAGTGCAGAAAAAAAATATGTATAAACCTTCTTTTGAATCATAAAAAAAAAGATTAGTTCTGATCTGTGGAAAATCCCCTTTCTCTTTCCTGCCCCATGTGTTGTTGTAATACTAGGGAGCAGGCCACCTGCTAAAACTGCTGACCCATGTACATTAATGACCTTTTATGTCAAATTTTTATGAAATAATCCACGTACAGTTAGTAGTGGGGGAGAGGGAGAGCCCGTTTCCGATCATTAGAAATCACCATGCCGAAGCAAATAGTTCATCAATAGCTGTTTGCGAATGACATGGCCCCAGCTTTCGAGAAAGGTGAGCACGTTGCTCTGCTTCTCCAGGCAGCCATCAGGATGCTCTGCTAGCTGCTGGTCATAGGGGGCGCAATTCTTTTTCTAGTTGATTTATGCTCAGATTTTCAGACTACAAGGATTCTTGGCATCACTACGGTGGCTTTGGAAGAAAATGTCATTGCACATTTTTTTAAAGCTATATGTCACTGAACTAGCATTTGGCATGTGATCACCTCTCTGCTACATCAGGAGGAGGTGTGAGTTGGATATTCTACGACAGCCTAGAAATGAAATGACAGTGACAGCATTAAGATGTTGACAGAAAAACGCATCCATATTTGATTCTGTCACTTTCCAGTTTGCTTTCGTGATTTGGGTTGTTGCTTACAATGTTAAGTGAAGAATGATAAACTGCTCTCTCATCTCAAGTAAAGCCCCACTTCAGTGAATGTGATAGCATAAATGTAGCATTGTGAAAATACTATGTCACTCAGAAAGGGCCTTTAATATATACACTTTGGTAATTTATCTGTATAACTATTGTATATCTATTATGATTGAGCTCTTCTAGAACTAGAGTTGCAGTAGAAAGGTAGACTGTACAGTGCATAACCTATCCTATACGGAGATGTGAGTTTGAATGACTATTTCAGACTGTTTTACTGGTCCAATTGACTGTATAGTGTAGTATATTGAAAATAATGAATGCATTTCTCTCTTTTCCAAAGATTTATCCCATGTAGTTTTATATTATTATGACATGAGCAGATTCTTGTATTTGCAGTGATCATTTGACTAAAGGGATGAAAAAATGTTCTAAAAGCTATAATTGGGAGGACAGTATGGGGATTTTATACCTCCTGCCTATCAACTATTTAAAGCCTTTTGTGCTAATATCACTTTGCAAGTTAATTTTGAAAGGAATAAATTGTGTTTTCATCCACTTCTAGCTGGCTGATCCTTTAGAATGCCTGATGGAACAGGAAGGAGTCAGCAGGGTGTAGGATGAAGAAAAACTTTGTAGCTATTTAGGCCTTAGAGGAAAACACATAGAATGTGACATCTTCCATTGGAACCAACATGTCAGCAGTTACACACAATGGAGCCTGCATTCCTCAGTCAGTATATCATATGCACACAAGGTGAAATCCATCCTATGCAGAGGGACAGCCTCAGTTCTATGCACCACTTCAAGCCCACCTAAGCTCTATGGAATGGGCTTTGGGTAGTGCATAGGCCTTGTACTGTCATGCTCTGTTGTGTACTCATTACGGCATGATGAGATACCAGAGGTACGTTTACTGACTGATGTGCGCATCCTAGAGTGTGTCATTGCACCTATAAAATGGTTCTTTTCAGTTTAAATTTTTTTTTAGCTATAAAGCTGTATTAAGCCATGCAATCTGTTCCCCAAATTAGTCCCCTCTCTAACAGTACTCTTATTTATAATTGCTATTTGAAACTTTTGGTGGAGCCCACTTCTAATAAATGTAGTGCAACTCTGTTTATAGTGGTTTCAGAGTAGCAGCTGTGTTAGTCTGTATCTGCAAAAAGAATTAGGAGTATTTGTGGCACCTTAGAGACTAACACATTTATTTGAGCATAAGCTTTCGTGGGCTACAGCCCACTTCATCGGATGTATAGAATGGAACATATAGTGAGGAGATATATAAATACATACAGAACATGAAAAGGTGGAAGTAGCCAGACCAACTCTAAGAGGCTAATTAATTAGGATGAGCTATTGTCAGCAGGAGAAAAAAAACTTTTGTAGTGATAATCAAGACGGCCCATTTTAGACAGTTTGGCAAGAAGGTGTGAGGATACTTAACATGGGGAAATAGATTCAATGTGTGTAATAGCTCAGCCATTCCCAGTCTCTATTTAACCCTAAATTGATAGTATTTAGTTTGCATATTAATTAAAGTTCAGCAGTTTCTCATTGGAGTCTGTTTTTGAAGCTTTTCTGTTGCAAAATTGCCACCTTTAAGTCTGTTAGGCTTGGTCTACACTAAACCCCCAAATCGAACTAAGGTACGCAACTTCAGCTACGTGAATAACGTAGCTGAAGTCGACGTACCTTAGTTCGAACTTACCGCGGTCCAGACCTGGCAGGCAGGCTCCCCCATCGACTCCGCGTACTCCTCGCGGCGAGCAGGATTACCGGAGTCGACGGGGAGCACTTCTGAGTTCGATTTATCGCGTACAGACAAGACGCGATAAATCGAACCCAGAAGTTTGATTGCCTGCCGCCGAACCAGCACGGTAAGTATAGACAAGCCCTTACTGAATGACCAGGGAGGTTGAAGTGTTCTCCTACTGGTTTTTGAATGTTATGATTCCTGATGTCAGATTTGTGTCCTTTTATTCTTTTGCGTAGAGACTATCCGGTTTGGCCAATGTACATGGCAGAGGGGCATTGCTGGCACATGATGGCATATATCACATTGGTAGATGCGCAGGTGAACGAGCCCCTGATGGTGTGACTGATGTGATTAGGTCCTATGATGGTGTCATTTGAATAGATATGTGGACAGAGTTGATAGTGGAATCAGGTGAAAGTCCCTAATTGCTTAGCTACTTTTCATTTGGCTTTCAGTCCTTAAGAGCCTTGTCTACAGTGAGCTTTTTGTTAAGATTTCCCACCATTATGCTACAGCAGGTCAGCTCCACCAAAGGGAATGCTACAGCAGGTCAGCTCCACCAAAGGGAATACCCAACCACAGGTATTTTAACACCTGTTTTGACTAAACCTGCTGTGATCAGGGGCTGGATGAAACAGTGGTAAAATGCCAGCATCCAGGTTATTCTGGCCCTTGTTCTGTTGCTAGCACAGTGGAAATGCACCTGGGCTAGGGCAGTGGTTGGAAATTTTAACAAAGATCACATGGTAGACACATGGTAAACTGGGGAGACTAATGGTAGACACAGTTTATTGAGAACCATCACTCCACTCTAGTGAGTTTGAGTGCATGCAACAGTTATTAGTTCCCATGTAAATGTTCAGTACAGCTTTCTAATGGGATTGTCATCTCCTCCTCCTCCTCCTCTGCTCTGGCTGAGCAGGAGCAGAGAGAAGTTTGTTGGGCCCTGGATGGAGAAGTAGGGAGGAGTCTTGCAGAAGCTGCTTCCAATAGGAAACTAAGGCTTTGTCTACGCTAACACTTTTGCTAGGAAAACTTTTGTCAGTCAGAGGTGTGAAAAAACCAACCCCGTCCGACATAAGTTTCACCAACAAAAGTGCAGGTGTGGACAGTGATATGCTGGCAGGAGACGCTGTCTTGCCGGCATAGCTACCACTGCTCTTTGGAGTGGTTTGATGATACTGGCGGGAGAGCTCTGTCGCACCAGCACAGAGTGGCTATGTGGGAAAGCTGTGCCACTGTAAGGTCTGTAGTGTAGACAAAGCCCAAGATACGGGTTTCCATAGAATGCCACTCCACTCCCACGGCAGCTACCAGCCCCCCCAACAGGGGGTGGGGTGGTTTGGTAGGCAGGCCCTCTGTCATTACAGTGCAACTCCACTTACAGCGAAACCAATCAAACCCCCCCCCCTCCCATTTTGCTGCCACATGAGGGTTCCACTGTGCATGAACAGGAGAGCCCACCTAACTCTGCTTCTCCCCTATCCCTATCCAGGGGTCTCAGGAGTAGTTTGAGCCACACCCCCTGCAGTCTGTACTCAGCCCAGCTTTGCCTCCAAGGGCTGCTGCTTCCCTGGGTGAGACTCCAGGAACGAATAAATTCTTCTGGCTCGGCTCAGCCTGGGCCTCCCCTCCTGCTTGTTTGGGGCTTGTCTGAACCCAGTTCTGCCTGCTGTGATGCTTCTTGAAAGAGATGATGTGTACAGTATACAGGTGTTTTTGTAGACAGGCTGCCTCTCTCCCATTGTGTGTGTGTGTGTGTGTGTGTGTGTGTGTGTGTGTGTGTGTGATGCATGTTCCCATCTGCTCTGTTCCATGCAGCAGATTGCAAGAGTTGTCTTAGTGCCTCCTTGGACTCTCCAGCGTAACTGTCCAGTCACAGAATGATGATGTGTCTCCAGAGAAGGCAAACCCGAAGACACATCCACAAACTCCTCTTCTTAACTCAGCCTAACTAATACAGGGCCTCCAATACAGGGGTCCAATACAGGGTGGCTTGTTGCACAAAAATGAACCCTTCTAGGTCACTATAACAGGAATGGCATTGGCAGGAGTTGCCAGAACCATGCTTCAGAGATTTTCGAGGAAGTCCCTTCCCTTCCCAGATCACAAATCGATTTATTTTGAGGATGCTGGGTAAAATCCTCTCTAAATGACTCCCTCCCCCCACACACATGCGTTCAGATGAGTTGCAGCAATATAAATGGGAGCACCTTCTTGCCTAGTGTTGGCTGGGGTCTATTTTGAACCAGTTTCCCATCAGTTAAACAAAAATTACAGGAGGCAAAGATCACTGAAAACAAATATAGATTGGCACTAAATTAGAGTAGCACATGCACATGTGATCCCAGAAACAGTCTATTCATTTTGTCCCTGCCTTGCCTCTTAAAAGAATTGTTTAACTCTAGGAGCGTTCGTGATCAGAATCAGAATGTCCTTCATTCAAACCCTGCTGGCTGGACTTGTTATAGGAGGCTTGGACTGATGCAGTGAAAATCTGCTGAAGCCTAGGTTTGTTGCAGCTTCAAAGCATTAAACCAGGGAGTTCGCCTGCTGGGAGACAGGCGGCCAGGGGCCTACAGCCTTCGATTTGGGGGTCTGAATGAGACACCATTGTCCAGTATGAATTTTCCTCCAACTGTTCTGTTGGATGAGGAAGTGCAAGCCAACGGCAATTGGAAACCAGTGCACCCACAGCTATGGGTCAGTCTGACTGCTGATAGCTTTGTCTGGCTCCTGGGAGTTTAATGCATACATATGAGACTTAGAGATGAGAAGCCTGATTTTGATCTCAGTTACACCACTGTACACCTGCTGTGAAACCAGTGATGTTAAGTAGTGTGAGATTGGAGTCAGGGCCCTGGGTATAAAAACTAGAGCGCAGTCTCTTACCGGTGCTGGGGAGAGACAACTGGAAGTTTTGATTCAGACATATGATACCTGGGAGAGAATTTGTGAAATAGTGAATTTAGAGGTGAAAATAATGGATATCAAATTCTAAGAACCCATGTGAAGGGAAATTAAATGGCTTTTTCCTTAAATATTTAGTAAATGTCAGAGTTAAAAGATAATGATTGCTATTACATTGCTTTTAAAATATATTTTAAAATTGACAGATGAAAGGAAAAAGATTGGTAAAACATCTATGGGTCTCTTACCTTTGGTAAGTGATGTTACCATTCTGTTAGCACTCTAGCCTTTCTTCCTTATGTTCTGTGTTGCAAAGTGGTGGTATCTTTAACTGGTCCCAGTATTTGACTGGTCCCTCTGCAGCTGGGGCCCTGTCCAACTCTCACTAAAGTAATTGGAAGTCTCTCCATCAACTTCAATGGGAGTTGTGTCGGGGTTTCTGTAACATGAAAACTTTTGCATAGAACCTCAAGCAGCTGCTGGAGAGGATTTTTTAATTGTGTACAACTGTGAGCCCTTCATGAGACTCCCAGTTCCTTCTGGAGTTTATATAGCAATAATGTGCCCATCTCTCCTCCACTGTTCCCACTCCCCATGTGATATACATGTTTTTTCGGCTTTTGAATGTAACCTTTCGCCTACGGCTGTGCAAATCAATTTGTGGAGTTCTACTGATGTACCCTGCGCTCTCCCTAGGGGGAGGACAGTTCAGTGTTGTTGCATTGACGGGCCTTTGGCAATTGGCTTTAAACCCTTCTGGCCTCTGGCTCCGGGGAAGAGCACATGGCTGGAGTTGGGATTCACAAACCATTGAATAGAAGATGGGGGAGCTAGAGTTTTGACTCAAACTCCAAAGACCGAGGTTGCATCTCCCTTCAAACATCCTGCT